GCTCAGTTTGAGGTGAGCATCATCCCCCCCATGGCAGTGCTGAGTGGTTCTGGGGGGCTTTGGGGAAGACCACTCCCATCTGTGCATCCTTCCCTCCCTGCATCCATCCATGACCACTGCGAGCCACTGTGGGACTTCACTTCCAAGGAGGCTCTCTTGGACTCACTGCTGGTAGAGCACTGGGACCAGTTTGAGGGAGAAGCTGGAGAAGCATTGCTGAAGGTACCAAAGGTGCATGGAGCAGCTCCGTTGGGGTGAGGTGGGTCCCTCGGTGGATGGGGATCTCTTGGGGACCCCCAACCCAGGTGGTGGTCCTCCTTGGACGGATGCATCTCCTGCTTGGCAGGACCCACGTCCTGCTTGGAAGCAGGGCAGGATGGTGGCCTGATGGTGCACGTGGCATCTCAGAGCCGTGTTGTGTGATGGGCTGGGGGGCTTTGGGCTTGGGTTTGTGCTGAAGGAGCTGCTTGAAGCAGGAGGGGGATGCGGGAGGTGACAGCAAGCCTCGGGTCTGCTCTGCTCCGGCTCCGTGCCCCCCTGTGCACCCCAGCAGCTCATCAGCACCCCCCCCAGTGTCTCCTGAACCTGAGCAGCCGCTCACTGACAGCAGAAAGCACAGCCCAGGCGTTTTCCATCTGAGCTCATTCCCAGCACAAGCTCTGTGGGAGTGGGGGCTCCGTAAGCACTCACCTGCCCCCCGACAGAGGACACAGAGCAGAGGGGATGGTGTGAACCAGGCACTGACCCCGAGCGGTTCCGCCCCATCAGCATCCCCTGTGGGGTCCCTCTCCCTCCTTCCCAAGCAGCTCCTACGCTCCTGTTTCCATGCCAGGCTGGTTTTCCCTTTGCTCAGCACTTGCTGCCTTTCCGGAATGGGATGTTGTTGGAGGATGAGGGAAAGCACGTGGGGGCCTGGAGCTAGGGCAGTGCTTTGTGTTCTCCTTTCCATGCTTCCCTTTGCTGCTCCAACTGATCCTGGCAACAGCAGCTATAAATATAGATGCTTTTTGCCTTTCCTCCCAGACCTGCACATCCCACCCTTCTCCTTGGCTCCCGTGGGAGGAGAGAGAAGCCTTTACATAGAAAGGGTTTAACTTGAAGCAGTCTGGAAGCGTTTGGGATGTGCTGATTACACACTGTGACCTACATGAGCCATGCAGGGGGTTGGGAACAGCGGGATGGCAGCTTGCAAAGGCCTGGAGCATGTCTGAGAGCTTAAAATGGCCTCAAGCTTCCCCTTTTTTGGGGACATCTGCAATGAGTTTCTGTTTGAGGCTTCCTCTCTGTGCTGGGGCAGCTTCCTGCTTCCTTCCCCCTGCACACATCCCCTGGCACAGCATCATGGGTGGCAGACCCTGGGGTGATGCTGGAAGCAGGCACTGGATGGTGCTGGACCCATAGGGTGGAAGAGGGAAGAATGTAGGAGGGTTCTGTAGCTGAACCTGCAGCTCCTGTCTTCAGCTGCTCTGAGCTGTGTGCCCTGCTTGGGTTGTGTTGGAGCAAGCCTGGCTCTTCGTGTGGCCCGGGCTGAGGTGTTCAGCAGCAGCACTGGCAGGGGAGGAGGGCAGTAGGTGATGGGTGGAAATCAGGGAATCCCAGCCTGGTTTGTGTTGGAAGGGACCTTAAAGCTCCTCCAGCTCCAACCCCTGCCACGGGCAGGGACCCCTTCCACTGGAGCAGCTTGCTCCAAGCCCCTGTGTCCAACCTGGCCTTGAACACTGCCAGGGATGGGGCAGCCACAGCTTCTCTGGGCACCCTGGGCCAGCGCCTCAGCACCCTCCCAGGGAAGAGCTTCTGCCTAAGAGCTCATCTCAGTCTCCCCTCTGGCAGGTTCAAGCCATTCCCCTTGGCCTGTCCCTACATCCCTTGTCCCAAGCCCCTCTCCAGCTTTCCTGCAGCCCCTTCAGGCACTGGAGCTGCTCTCAGGTCTCCCCTTCAGGAGCCTTCTCTTGTCCAGGCTGCCCCAGCCCAGCTCTCTCAGCCTGGCTCCAGAGCAGAGCTGCTCCAGCCCTCGCAGCATCTCCGTGGCCTCCTCTGGCCTTGCTCCAGCAGCTCCAGCATCACCCACCAGTGTGGGTGACTTGTCCTGGATGCCCCGTGCAGTGAGGAGCTGGACCCAAGCTGGTGGCACCTCCTCAAGAGAGGCCTCAGACACCTCTGGGAAGTGGGTCCCTGCAGCCCTGGGTGCTGGATGTGGCGGCAGAGGTTCCTGTATCTCCCCATGCTTCTTGGTACCAGCACCTCTTCCACTGGTTGTTGCTGTAACCCAGCTCAGTTCAGAGCAGCTGGGCTGAGCCTGAGCTGTGAAGCCCGTGGTGGCTATTGCAGACCTGGGAAAGGCTTTGTATGAGCAGAACCTCTTTGGTTTTGATCATGAACTCCTCTAAGATATGCACTTGCGTGGCCCCGCTCCAGCATCCCACCCAGGGCTTCCCCCTGAGGGCAGTTCATGGAAGAAACATGGAAAAGTGAGGGATATGGGATAATGGCAAAAAGATGCTGCAGGAGTTTGTGTTTAGCCGGGACTTGAAACCAGCCCCAGTCCCAGTCTCCTGCTGCATCCCAGCTGAGGCCGTGTTGGCACCTCCTGTTTCCACTGATTCAGTCAGAAACACCCAACGTGGAACAACTGAATCCTCCCAAACACCCATAAACTTAGAGCACAGCCTAAATATAGCTCCGTGCCCTGTTTGAGGTGGTGTCCTGGCTGCTGGGGAGGTCCTGGGAGCTAAAATAGCTCCTTAACGCAGCGCCAGCAGCAGCAGCAGAGGCTGTGCCTTCAGCACACGCTGTTTGGAGCAGGGCAGGTTTTCCAGCTCCTTCTTTCAAAGGCGTCGAATACACTTTAATGACCACGACTTCTTAACTGATGGGAGATGCAGGGAGTGAATCCATGGGGGCTGAGCTCTTGGGGGCTGTTCCATCTCCTCATCCTCCGCAGCTCTGCTTTTTCCTTGCGTTAATCCACCCGGATTCTCTCTATTGATGACACAGATCTGAAACCCGTTGCGAGATTTCCTCTCCTCATCCCCAGCTGAATGATTCAGCTCCTGAATCCCTGCTTTGCCAGCGGCCAGGCTGCTGCAGCCCTTCCCTCTTGAGCCTCGTCCAGGTCTTGCATCAAGCTGAACAATGTTGGAGCTGATGCGCTGTGGCCGCAGCCTGTTCCAGGCAGCCCTTTCCCTACAGCTGCTCCGGGAAGTGTCCCTCTGACTCACCTGTGCCTGCTTCCCGACTGCTCCCTGGCACTGGATCAACCTCTCTGGGAGCCTTTGTGCTGCTGGGACTTGCTGGAAGGGGTTAATGCTGCTTTTCTTCCCCATGGATTTTATCCTGCGTGTCTGGATGTGTCCAAGCTTGAAGCTGAGCCCTGACAGTGGAGGGGGCATCGGAAAGGGCTGGGATAAGCAAGTGGAAGAACTAGGGATGATGACAGCCTTCCAGTGCCTAAAGGGGCTTCAGGAGACCGGCAGAGGGGCCTTGGACAAGGGCCTGTAGGGGTGAGCTTTAAGGTCCCTTCCAATCCACATCATTCCCTGAGTTACCCCCATATCCATGCCCAGCACCGTCCCGCCTGCCTTTCGGTGGCACCTCAGTTACGTGCTGAAGGACCTGGGTGCTTCCAGCTGTGCCCACGTTATTTATCCAGCATCCAGCAGGGAAGGAAGGGTTGGTGCCTCTCTCCCAAGGCAGAGTGCAGGTTTTCCATCTCCTCCCTTTGTCCAGGATGTGGTATCTCCCCCAGCACTGACTCGGAAACCTCTGGAGGCCACGACTGGTGTTTTCCCCTCTCCATGGAGGTTTCAGTGTGCTCACACCCATCTCCACCCCTCACGTTTTCCTGCCCTTGGTTTCGTTCTCTTTCCACTGACTTTGCTTTCCAGTGGCTGCAAAACACTGCTGGGCTTTGTCTTTCTTGGGAAGTCATTGGGAATTTGGTAACCCAGGTCTAGAAGGTTCTTCCGCCGCTCATTGCTGTGTGTTTCACCCATGAAACACAGCAGGGAGAAATGGGGGCTGTCCTGAACCTACAGACTTCCCTGGGCCTTGTCAAGGGCAATGTTCATGCTTGGAGCAGAGGGATCAGAGCTGCAGAGACAGGCACTGTGCTGGAGACCTGCTCATCCTGCTGCAGCCATCCTGGGATGTGGTGCTTGGAACCAGGGCAGAAGGATGGAGCATCTCGTGGGAGAAGGGAGTGAAGGGCACTGGGTTGGTAACGGCTTTGGGGAAGAAATGGTTTCCTCATGGCCTGGGTCTTGTTCTTCCCTGTCTGAATGCGGTACCGTGGTGAAAAGGAGAAGTAAAAAGTTCATAAGCTCCCCATGACCCAGCTTCAGTGAGCGCTTGAGCCCAGAACCCCCCCATGTGCTGGGTGCACCCCCAGAGCGTGAGCAGCAGCTCAGGGAGGGGATCCTGCCCCTCTGCTGTGCTCTGGGGAGACCCCCCCTGCAGCCCTGATCCAGCTCTGGGGCAGCAGCACAAGAGGGACGTGGAGCTGTTGGAGCGAGGCCAGAGGAGGCCATGGAGATGCTGCGAGGGCTGGAGCAGCTCTGCTCTGGAGCCAGGCTGAGAGAGCTGGGCTGGGGCAGCCTGGACAAGAGAAGGCTCCTGAAGGGGAGACCTGAGAGCAGCTCCAGTGCCTGAAGGGGCTGCAGGAAAGCTGGAGAGGGGCTTGGGACAAGGGATGTAGGGACAGGCCAAGGGGAATGGCTTGAACCTGCCAGAGGGGAGACTGAGATGAGCTCTTAGGCAGAAGCTCTTCCCTGTGAGGGTGCTGAGGCGCTGGCACAGGGTGCCCAGAGAAGCTGTGGCTGCCCCATCCCTGGCAGTGTTCAAGGCCAGGTTGGACACAGGGGCTTGGAGCAAGCTGCTCTAGTGGAAGGGGTCCCTGCCTGTGGCAGAGGTTGGAGCTGGAGGAGCTTTAAGCTCCCTTCCCAAACCAGTCTGGGATTCAGTGATTCTAAGGGCCTTCCATTTTCTCTCCTCTCTGGCTCCAGGTGGCACAAGCTCCACTCCAAGGCCGGGAAGAAGGAGAAGGAACGTGGCGAGATCCTGGTGTGCATCCAGTTTACACGCAACAACATCACAGCCAGCATGTTCGACCTGTCCATGAAGGACAAGCCCCGGTCACCCTTTGGCAAGCTGAAGGACAAGGTGAAAGGCAAGAAGAAATACGACTTGGAGTCAGCCTCTGCCATCATCCCCAGCAGCATGGGCGGCCTGGACATGGAGGATGACTATGACATTGGGGGCAAGAAATCCAAAGTGAAGGGCTTCTTCCTGAAGAACAAGCTCCGCAAGTCATCCTTGACTCAATCCAACACCTCCCTGGGATCCGACAGCACCATCTCCTCTGCCAGCCTGGGGCTGGCCTCGAATGTTCCGGAGGTAACCAGATCCCCCAGCAGACACAGCAGTGTGTCCATGGAGCGCTCAGGTAAGAGGATAATGGGTTTCATTCCCTCTCCCCCTCTTTATTCCCCCTTTTCTTTGTGAGGGATTCTGGAGGCTTTCCTGCAAGTCTCTTAACTCCTTGCTTACCTGCATCCTGCATCCTCTGAGATCTGGGGATCTCCCTTCGGGTGCCAGGGAGGGACCCTTCATCAGGCGCTGTAGTGATAGGACAAGGGGTGGTGGGTTTAAACTGAAACAGGGGAGATTTGAGTTGGATCTAAGGCACAAGTTCTTCCTGTGAGGGTGCTGAGGCACAGGGTGCCCAAAGAAGTTGTGGCTGCCCCATCCCTGGCAGTGTTCAAGGCCAGCTTGGACACAGGGGCTTGGAGCAAGCTGCTCTAGTGGAAGGTGTCCCTGCCTGTGGCAGGGGTTGGAGCTGGAGGAGCTTTAAGGTCCCTTCAACACAAACCATTCCATGGTTCTGTGGTCCTCTGCATGCTGGTAGCATTGTGCTTGCCAGAACAGGGGAGGGCATCTGAGATGCTGCTTTTCATACTCTGTGAATGACCTGACTTGGGTTGATGCCACATTGTCCCTGCAGCTCACTACAAGCTTTTGGGCTATGAGGGTTCTTTAGGACCTTTTCTTCCCTGTCTCCTAAAAGCAGGTCAGAGCAATAAGCCCCTGGGAGAGGGCACGGTGCTGCTGCTGCTTGTCTGCTGGGACACCTCAGGCCTGAGGCAGAGCTGAGGCAGTGACTGGCTCCTGGTGTTAAAGCTCTTGGCACCCAGGCAGCGGCGATTTGCAAACAAAAAGGGTCCTTGTGGGGAATTAATTCTTGCTTGGAAGCAGTGTGCAATGATCTGGTTTAATTGGCTGGAGACAGCAAATCCCCATGTTGGAGGGAGACTCCGGTGCTGCTCCTCACTGTGCTGGTGAAGCCCCACAAGTGATGCTGCTTGGTTTGTGCTGCACGGTGGAGGCACTGCTCTGGCCCCAGCATCCTCATGTTGTGATGAAGGGGAGTTTCCTGCTAGGAGAGGGAGCGGCTGCGTGGCACAGGGAGCCCAGCATCCTTCTCACCAGCTCTTCCCCCAGACCTGCTGAGTGCTGCGGTAGCCCCAGAGTCAGGCAGGGGAGGGAGGAGCAGGCACTGCGCAGTCTGGGCTTGTATCAGGCAGGATACGGGAGCAGAGCTCAGAGACTCCACATCTTTCATTCAGTGCAAACTCTTAAATCACTCGGAAGCAAAACCCCCTCAGTCATGGACTCACAGAATGGTTTGGGTTGGAAGGGACCTTAAAGCCCACCCAGCTCCAACCCCTGCCACAGGCAGGGACCCCTTCCACTAGAGCAGCTTGCTCCAAGCCCCTGTGTCCAACCTGGCCTTGAACACTGCCAGGGATGGGGCAGCCACAGCTTCTCTGGGCACCCTGTGCCAGCGCCTCAGCACCCTCCCAGGGAAGAGCTTCTGCCTAAGAGCTCATCTCAGTCTCCCCTCGGGCAGGTTCAAGCCATTCCCCTTGGCCTGCCCCTTAAGTAGCCTCTGGGTACCTTCTTGCATGCGTTATCCACCTCGGATCCTCTCAGACAAGGGATTTGGTGTCTTACAGAGACTCCTGTCTGGATCCGGCAGTGGGAGGTGATGTCTGGGGGAGGGCATTGCACACCCTGTGCAGCCGCCTACCTGCAACCCGGGCTTTGCATTTCTAGTTGTTTAATTATGCAGTGGGAGCCTGGCAGGGAGAAAGCTGGTGTCATCTCCCAGCTCTGCAGTGTTTGCAAGGGGAAGATGAGCATGTTTGTCCTGCCTGGGACTGTTACTCAGGTGGCCTCACCTCCGGCTTGTGTTTGACTCCCCCACAGTGAAAGACCTGTTGCCATCTCCAAAGCTGACCCACAAGAGAGCATTCAGTGACGATGTCTCCCAGGTGAGCCCGGTCCTGGAGCCCAAAGCAATCCAAAGCCCGAAGCCAAAGAACGATCCCGTGTCCCGCTCTTCCCTCTGCATCAACGGGAGCCACGTTTACAGCGACGAGCCTGCACCAAAGAGCCCCGTGTGTGTCCCGCAGAGCTCCAGCATTCCCAAGGGGCAGGAGGAGGGCTTCGGCTTTGCTCCCCTCCATCCCGAGCCCCAGGAGGTGCCTTGGGGGGTCAGCAGCTTTGAGAGGACCCAGCAGAGAGACGAGCCCAGGTTCATCCCATCTCCTCCCAGCTTGGCCCTGCAGGAGGAGCTCAGGGTCTCCACAAAAGCTGTCACCCTCAGTAACCACCTGGGCAGAGCCAGGATGGAGGAGAGCAGCCGCATGGAGAACAAACCAACCCAGGCTGCAGCTCCCATGGTCTTCTCCACGGACACAGCGAAGGACAAGCAAGCTGAGGACGCCAAGAAGGAAGACAGGAAAGCAAAGGGTGGCCTCTTCCACCACGGGGGCAATAAGAACGACACCGGGAGCAAGGGGCAAGGGGAGAAAGTGGGATCTTCCCATGGCTCGTCCATCCACGCAGGAGGAGATGAGAGGAGTAAGAGCAGCAGCTGGTTTGGTTCAAAGGAGTCTCCTCAGAAACCCAGGTCAGTGAAATGGGGGTGGTGATGCCTGGGTCAGGAACTGGGTGTCCCAGTGGCCTGTCTTCAACACTGGGCTGGTAAATGGGCTCCAGCATCAGCAGGGGACTGGTCCCCATTGCTCAGGCAGGTGATGGCGGGGGAAATGCTTCTTGGTCTTAAATGTCTCAAGGGGAGGGTGATTTTCCTGGATCCTTCCCTGCCTTCTGCCACAAACCAACCCCATTGGCCCTCCTGGGCTGTGTTTCCCGGTTGGGATCCCCTTCATGGAGAGGGGATTGTTTCCCTGTGCAGAGGCTCAGTGTGGTCAGTCCAAGTGTTTCTGTGGCCTCCCTGACACACAATACGGGATGTGGGACACAGTGACACGGAATGACATTCATCAGCCTCCCACCCCTCTGTTTGTGGTCCAGTTTGGGGGTGCAGTACATTGGTACCTTAAAATGAAGTAACTAATCCCATTCCTGCTCCTTCCTCTTCCCATCCCACCCCAACCTCCCCTTCTCCCTGGTGGGAATCTCTGATTGTTCCTGCTTTGTGTGGTGATTCATCTCTTCCCAAATCCTCAGCGCTGGGTTCATGGCACACAAACCGTGGTGGTGGTGGTGGTGGTGCTGTTTCTGTGTGGCCTTTGTCCTGTTGATGGGTCACCAGTGTCCATCCCCATAGCTCCTGGGGGAGACTGAGAGCCCAGTGTGGTGTTGGCATTGCTCAGTGAGAGGGAGGAAAGGGGTTAAAGCAGCCAGAGAAAAGAACCAACAGTTCTGAGCTGGTTGAATCTCCAGGGTTGATTTATTATGGGATTTTCCTAATCTGGGCTGACTTGAACCTCATTTATGAAGCAGAAGGGGTTTAATTCAGTCTGAGCCTCCTTTCATGAGGAGGGCACTCATGGTTTATCCAACCCAACCACATGCCCACGGGTTCAACTGCTTTGCAAGTGCTGCTCAGGCCTGAGGGAGGGGTGAGCACATGGCTCACTGGGCCTCCAGAGCAGGGCAGCACCTAAAGCGTTGTCTTCTCACCCCACAAGATGATGTTGTGCTCATGGGGGGGGGGCTTTAAAGCCAAAGGGTGACAAGGACTTGCTGCCACCCCCTTCCCGAGGACAGATGTGTCCTTGTGCTGTGTGGCACATGTGGTACCTTGAGAGGAGGATGAGCTGATGGTGAGAGGGTTGGAGAGGAGCCTCAGGGGCTGGTGAGGTTCAGTCCTGCACTGCCTGGGCAGTGGGGACACTGAGGCAGACAGGAGCTGCTCCCCATCACAAACACCTCATCCCATAGGGCCTGGAGCTCTTTCCCCTGAGGCCATGGGGAAGGGAAGGACAAGGCAGGATGTGGGCTCTGTCCCTGAGCTGCTCAGCAGCAGAGGGGTGAACGTGAGCTCCTGAGAATGCTGAGGCTGCATTCCCACCTATGGGTCTTTCACTTCCAGGTGGTTATTGGGTGTCACATCCCAGGGCGAGGTTTGTTTCTGGATGAGACTAAAGGAATGTGGTCGAGATGAGCTCTTAGGCAGAAGCTCTTCCCTGTGAGGGTGCTGAGGCGCTGGCACAGGGTGCCCAGAGAAGCTGTGGCTGCCCCATCCCTGGCAGTGTTCAAGGCCAGGTTGGACACAGGGGCTTGGAGCAAGCTGCTCTAGTGGAAGGGGTCCCTGCCCATGGCAGGGGTTGGAGCTGGAGGAGCTTTAAGGTCCCTTCCAACACAAACCAGGCTGTGGCTCAGTGAATGCCGTGATTGAGGAAGGACAGAACGGAACCACTCGAGATTGTTCTTTGATTCCTTTTCAGTTCATTCGGTGATACTAAAGCTGCTGTTTCAGTCCTACAATAGAAGATCCTGTATGAAAAACCCATCAAAGCCCTTCTGTGCTCAGGCAGTGACTGCACGAGCTGCCTGAGCCGGACACTGAAGCACTGTGAGCCTGCAGTGGGGTGGGATGGGAGGTACCCTCTGCATCTCCCTATGGAGCCTTTTCCATGATAAATGGGTGAGAAACCACCAGGTTGCCTCCTGCTTTGCAGCTCTGGGTTTGAAGCAGATGTGCTCCATGTGCTCCATGTGCTCCATCCCTATGCGTGTGTTGTCCTATCCCAACGGACACCACTGTCCTCAAGGCAGGGATGTAAATGGGCTCCAGTAGCATCCAACCCAGCAGATAATCACAGAGGTGCTCTCAAACACTGCTGGTTTCTAACAACCATTCCCTTCCATGACAGCTGCTGGAGCCATTCCCAGTGTTATTCCTTTCCCAGAGGGTTTTCACTCTGTTCTCTCTTAACCTACTTCAGTGCTCACAGGTGAATTCAAGCTAAGCTGAAGCTCAGCTTAGCTCAGAGTTGGGTTGCTCAGGACGCTGCCTGCAGATGCCTGTTTTCTATAGGAGGAACTTGGATGAGCTGTGAGACAGCAGCTCCTCCAGCTGGGGTTTTCTCTCCCCAAAATAGGAATTGCTTTGAAGCAGCATGGGCTGCAGGGAACAAATTCACAGAGGCCCCTTTTGGAGCGTTTCTAAACAGCTGAATGGGCTTTAATTGCAGTTTGCAGATTGAAAATGGGAAGTAATGAGCTTAAACTGCAGCTTGGACAAGAGAAGGCTCCTGAAGGGGAGACCTGAGAGCAGCTCCAGTGCCTAAAGGGGCTGCAGGAAAGCTGGAGAGGGGCTTGGGACAAGGGATGTAGGGACAGGCCAAGGGGAATGGCTTGAACCTGCCCGAGGGGAGACTGAGATGAGCTCTTAGGCAGAAGCTCTTCCCTGTGAGGGTGCTGAGGCGCTGGCACAGGGTGCCCAGAGAAGCTGTGGCTGCCCCATCCCTAGCAGTGTTCAAGGCCAGGTTGGACACAGGGGCTTGGAGCAAGCTGCTCTAGTGGAAGGGGTCCCTGCCTGTGGCAGGGGTTGGAGCTGGATGGGATTTAAGGTCCCTTCCAACCCGAACCGTTCCATGATTAAAAGAAAGCAAATGATGCTTGGGGGTGTGCAGCTGAAGCCAGAAGGGGGATCTCAAGAGCTTCACTTCAAGTTGGGCTGGTTTGTTACCCTTACAGAGCTCATGAGCAATAACAGCCCAGGATCTTGATGCTTTCCCCCATACGGCCCAGGCTGGGCGGTGGAAGATGGTGCCTGAGTCTCATTTGATGCAGAAAAGGCCTTTCCACCATCCCAGGGAGATGCACTTCTCTGGTCTGGCTTCCCTGGGTCTTCATTTCTCTGACCATGAATTCCACCACTGTTGCTCATTCTAATTGTGCACAGCTCTTGTGTGGTTTTAGTCTCCTTCCTCACACGGAATGATCTCATGGAGCATGCCACTGATGCAAGGCAAAGCTGTTGAAGAGCTTTTGAGGTCTTGCTGGTGTCAGGTTGAACGTGTGGTCTGGTACCATCAAATGTAGGATCAAACGTGTGTGGTCTCTTGAGCATGCATTGGGCACCCAGCTGTGGATGTCCACCTGCATCTGGAGCAGCTGTTCAGTGCCTTCTAGAGCTGGAGATGGATCATAGCCTGGATGAGGAGAGGCTGAGGGAGATGGGACTGTTCAGCCTGGAGAGAAGAAGGCTCATGGAGACCTTGTCACCATGGTCCAGTATTTAAAGGGTGGCTGCAAAGAAGATGGAGACTCCTTTTGGACAAGGAATCCCATAGAAAACACGAGGGGTGATGGGCACAAGTTGCTGCTGGGGAGATTCCAGCTGGACACAAGAGGGAAAATGTTTCCCGCTGAGAGCAACCATTGGAATAATCTCCCCAGGGAAGTGGTGGCTCCCCAGTGTTGGACACTGTTAAGACTGGGCTGCACAGGGTGCTGGGACATCCAGTGTAGGTCATGCTGTGCCTGGAAAGATTGGAGCCGATGATCCCTGAGGTCCCTTCCACTGGGATTCCAGGATTCCATTGAACCTTTGCTTTGTAGAGAGAGCAGCTTCTGCATGAAGCAGTTTTAAGCCTTTAATTTACCTGCAGAAGGGATTTTCCCCTCTTGCTCTCCTCGTTCTGGAACCTTCAGCCCTGCAGCTCCTACCAGCTGAGCCAGCAGCGTTCCCTCCGCTCTTTGCCCACTGGATAGGTCAAGTTTTACCCGGAGCCAAAGGGATGGAGACAACCTCAAAAGCAGACACCATTGCGGGGCCAGAAAGCTCAACCTGTCATTAGTGAAAAGCTCTGTAATTAGAAGGCTGCTTTACAAAGCTCAGCTTGAAATGAGCCTCCAGCTAAGCCAAGTCTTGCACCTCTTGCAAAACCAGACCCTGTCTAAAAGCAGGAAGGTTCCAGGTTAACTTCTGCTTTCCAAAGAGCTTTGCTCTTCTCCTTATGGGCAGGGTTTTGCTGAGCCATCAGCAGCACTTATTTACAGCTGGTTACTCATTGCCTACACAAGGAAGGAGGTCCCAAAGGCTCTGCTTTGCTAAAGCAACCAGGCTTTGATACTGGCTGGAATGGAAGCGGTAGGAAGATGGTGTTTGCTCTTTGGAGGCCTGAATAAAAGGCTCTTTGGGGTTTGTTGTTCTGAAGGTTGTGTGGTCCAGGGCTGTGTGTGAGGAAGGAGCTCAGCAGGTTCAGCTGAGCCTAAAACAATTGGTTTCACTGTTTTCAGGGTTTCCTCCAGTGTTATCAGAGCTCCACAGGGCCCGCTCCCTGCGGGGTGAATCGGGATGATAAAGGGAGGCTGCATCTCAGGCTTGGCAATAGGAGAAATTGTGCTTTCTCCTGTACAAACAACAGCACTGGTGCTGTTTGCAGGTTAAAAACCTTCTCTTGACAGGCTGAGAGAGCTGGGCTGGGTCAGCCTGGAGAAGAGAAGGCTCCTGAAGGGGAGACCTAAGAGAAGGCTCCTGAAGGGGAGACCTTAGAGCAGCTCCAGTGCCTAAAGGGGCTGCAGGAAAGCTGGAGAGGGGCTTGGGACAAGGGATGTAGGGACAGGCCAAGGGGAATGGCTTGAACCTGCCAGAGGGGAGACTGAGATGAGCTCTTAGGCAGAAGCTCTTCCCTGGGAGGGTGCTGAGGC